CCCGCCCCTGGCCCTGAGTCCCCGACCGCTCCTCTTCCCCCTCTGTATCCCAGTTCCGTCCCAACCGACCTTAGGCGCATTCCGAACCCGGCTCAGAGGCGGCTCTGGCCTCGCTAGCGCCCCCTTCACCCCCAGGGAAGAAGCACATTCTGGTGCTGAGCGAGCTGCGCCCGGAGGACGCCGGTGAAGTCCGCTTCCAGGCGGGACCCGCCCAGTCCTTGGCTCTTCTGGAGGTGGAGGGTGAGCAACTGCGGCGCGGGGACGGGGAAGGGGACCTCATCTCCTGCCCTGGGACTGAAGGACTGGCGGCTGCTCCCTGGAACGCTACCTTCCTCCCTTGCCCTCCCCTGGAAGGCTTCTCCGGGGCGGGTCACGGAGGGCAGCGCGTGTCCTGGGGAGACTTTGATGAGGGGTGCAGAGGGCTGGGGCCCGGGGTGGAGGCAGCAGGGAAGAAAGATGCGTCTCTTCTGGGGGCCATGCGTGTCCTTATTAACTTAAGCCCCCGCCGCCCGTCCCCAGCATCGCCTCTCCAGATGTGCCGCCGCCCCCCTCGCGAGAAGACAGTTTTGGTGGGCCGCCGGGCGGTGCTGGAGGTGACTGTGTCCCGCTCAGGGGGCCACGTGTGCTGGTTGCGAGAGGGGGTCGAGCTGTGCCCGGGAGACAAGTATGAGATGCGCAGCCACGGCCCCACCCACAGTCTGGTCATCCATGACGTGCGACACGAGGACCAGGGCACCTACTGCTGCCAGGCCGGCCGGGACAGCGCCCACACACGGCTGCTGGTAGAAGGTGAGTGGAGCCAGCTGGCAGAGGTCAGAAGGGCAGACTGGTTGGCCAGGCAGGCGGGGCGCCTGGGAGCTGGTGGGCTAAAATACACCTATGGGAGGCGTTCCAGGACTTGAAGTGGGAATGGGTTCTGGGATGTGTTGGATGGGGTGGGGGGAGAGGGGTAGGATAGAGCACATCCAGGGCTGAGGCCAGGAGAGAGCCCTGAGTTCTCAGGAGCCACTGGGCTCAGGTCAGCTGTTCTCTACATCCCTTCCTGCCTGCCTGCCTGGCTTCTCACTCCCTCCTGCCTCTGGGCTGTGTTTGTCTCTCCTGAACAGCCCAGTTTCTACCAGTTCCTCTTCTTCCCACCTGCCCAACACTGGGCTGTGCCCCAGCCTGTCCCTCATCCCTCCTGCTCTCTGACCAGCTGGCTTCTGTCCTTCTTAGCGAGTTCAACACCAGCCTGGGCTGAGGACCCCTGAGCTAGTCCCATTTTTTCCCCTCTTCCACAAAGGAGACAACCCACTTCCACCCAAAACCCCTGCTTTCCCTTCAGATGCTGTGCTTTCCTCCACCTCTAACTGACCCCCACCCTCCTGCCCCGACAGACAGCCCCAAGAAAGTCCTAGAAAGAATGGGGCAGGGGCAGAGAGCCCAGCTCTTCCTGTATGAGTGCCCAAGCTCTGCCAGGGGTGGGAAAAGGGTACCCACTCTTGCCTAGCCACACGTGGAGTCATTCCTCTGCAGGTAACTAGAAGGACCGAACCTGGCCAGGCGGGTGCCCTTGGACAGCTTGGAAGGCGTGTGCCCTTACCCTGGGCAGGCGAGAGGAGACAGGGAAGCCAGAGGAGTTGGGAAACAATAAAAGTGTAACAGACTGTTTCCCTGCCTCTCTGTGTGATGTGGAAGGACAGACCTTGCCTGAAGGCCCTGTGCAGTGAGTGACACAGAGGACTTAGGCTGCAGTGCTTCCATCTGGCCCATGGAAGTGCCAGCCACTGAAGACCACCACTCCTGGCAGAGGCCACGCAATTTGGCACATTTATAAAAGATGTAAAACAGGGTGGGGTGGGGGAGACAGAAGCATGAGGTGTCCCAGGTGGCGTGACAGACACCAGACATGCACCGTGCATTTAAGCCCCCCACCCCAAGCCCCCCTTCCCGACCCAGCCCAGAGCAGCACCCTCCCGCCCCCATCCCCTGTCACTGCCCTCAGGCTGGTGGCTTTGCAGAGGCCAGGAGACCAGGGTGAGGGGTGCTGTAGTTTGCCCTGTGGACAAGGACAGGGACCCTTAGATGAGTCTGGTTGGGAGGCATGGCGATGGGGGAGGAGGGCAGGCCTCTTCCCTTAGACATGCAGGAGAGTAGCCCGTGGGACCCAGCAGTGGAAGAGGAGGTGGAGCCATCCCTGGAGAAGCCCTACCAATCAGAAATTGAAGGCAAGGGTCCCGGGGTCCCCTCCAATCCTCCCCCCACACGCACGAACGCACAGGCAACACACTCACAACCCTGAGCACACCCCAATGGGGTTCACACCCCGCGTCCTTCAGGAGCCCCTTGGGAGCTTGGGAGGAGGCTCCCCCTTCAAGCCAGGCCTAGCCTGAGACAAATCCTCCCTTCTAGTGACCAGGCCAGCCCTCTCCAGGGAGGGGCGAGGGATAGCCAAAGGCTTCAGGGCCAGGGGTGCTGGGTGGTGGCCTGGCAAGCCTTCCCGAGCTGGCAGAGCTGGTGACTGCAGAGTCTAGACAGGCGGAGATGCTGCTATACCCGCACGGGGGGTCCTGAGCAGGCTGTCAGTGGCCCCCGGGACCCATACTCATAGTCTGCATCTGTGGGTGAGGCCATGAAGGAGCTCAGTGAGCTCCCCGTCTGTCGGTCTCGAAAACTCTGGATGTAGCTCTGTGGGGAGTGAACACAGGTGTGAGCGTTCCCATAGACTCCTGCCCCAAAGGTCACCTCTCCCTGCACCCCCACAAGCCTGACACTACTCCCCAAACTACCACAGCCGTAGGACCTCATCACACCCAGAGTCTGCAGCCCTGAGATCACCTCACCGCATAAAACTCCCATTAAAATTTGTGCTCAGGATACTGCTTCCCCGATCCCAAGGCTGATTCCACCAGGCCCCTGATGCAGGGCTTCCAAGGGGTGGACAAAAGACGGGCCTTCTAGACAGTGAGCAGACCTGGAGAGAGCCCAGTGCTCCTTGGACACAGTCTACACACTTTCTTCTCTGTATTCAGGCTGGATGGGCTCAGGGTGCTCACCGGGGAGAGGACATCTCCATTGAAGCGTTTGATGGGCACTGGCCTGCGCCGATAAGCAGGGTCGGGGGGACCAGGCCTTGGAGGAGCCCGGGAACCTCTTGGGGGAGCCCGGGGGGGTCTCTTTTTCCGCCGCTTCTCCTTGCGCTCTTCCTGCTGCCGAATCCGCATCAGTTGCACACGTCGTTGCTGCCGGCTGATGACCACTGTGCAGGGGTGGGCAGAGAAGGGTCTCAAAGGCCCGTGTGCCTCATCTCCCCCAAGCCTTCCCCCTCTCTTGCCACCTGGAGGCTCCAGGCTTCCAGATTCCCCCGTCCATCACCCCTCACCCCCTTCCCGTCTCTTCCTTTCCTGGTCTCTCACCTCTCAGAGGGCGCTTCCTGCTGTTCTTTTCTTCCAAAAGTCTTTATGGAAGATTCCCAGGCTTCTAGGTACCCCTTTCTTGACTCTCATCACTGTTCCAACCCTAAGCTTAGGTGACTCACCTAGGCCCGCCACCTCATCTTTCCACGGGACAGGCACAGCTGCTCTCTCACTGGCTTTCCCATCGACACTCTTCTCCCTCCAATGCCTGCTTCACTCAGCAGCAGAATAAGCAAAAGCGAACTTAGACGCTGTTCTCCCCTCCAGTGGCATCTCATTACCCTTCTAGTAAAACGCAGAGTCCATTTCGTGGCCCAGAGGGCCCACACCATCAGCCTGACTCCCAAACCTCACCTACCACAGTCCTGCCCCACTTCCTCAAACCAGCCAAGCTCGCTCCTTCTCAGGGCCCTTGTTCCTGGCTGTTCCTGTCTCTCTAGCTCTTCACTTGGCTGGTCCCTTAGCCTTCAGGTCACCTGCTTACGTGTCATGTCACCTTCTCCAAGCAGCCTTTCTTGACCACCCTAGCTGGAAGAGCCTCCATGGGGCACTCTTTCATTTCACTCTGCACAACTGGAATCATCTTGTTTGTTTGCATGTCTATCACCTCTCTCTCGCCTACCCTGAATGTTTACCCATAAGAGCAGGGACGTTTTCTGTTTTATCTCTGCTCTATCCTAAATGCGTAGAATGAGGTTGGCACAGACCTGATGCTCCATGCACTGTTGTGGGATGAATGGTAGCATTGTTGGGTGCTGTCCTCCCAGACCCTGCTAGGGTGTACAGCTTCTGCCTCCAGTCCCCAGTCACTCAGCCCCGACCCGTCCCTGACCAGCCCACTCCTCTCATGCCCACCCCGGCCTGTGCCCTCTCACCTTCTGTGTGGGAGTCCCCCTCGGCTGTCACCCGCCACTGCACCAGAACACCCATCAGGCTGAGCAGGGGCCAGAGTGCCAGCAGGGCCCAGCTCCGCCAGCAGAGGGGAGGCACCGGAGCAGCCCGCAGTCGCTCTACCACGTAGCGCCCCAGCAGTAGCAGCTCCGCAAAGTAGTCAGCAGCAGTGGCGATGAGCGCAGCACCAGTCACTGCGGTGGCCAGGGTGGTGAGTGGGCGGGGCCAGCGCAGGGTGAGCAGGGCACAGAGCACGCCGCCCCCCAGCAGCAGCCCCAGCGGGCCCCACACTGAGCCCGGCTGGTAGTACGGTGCGGAGCCCAACAGGGCGGCGGCCGCGAGCAGCAGGCCCAGCAGCAGCCCCACCAGGAAGAGGCCCACACTGCGCACCAGCATGGCTACCAGCCCGCAGAGCAGCCCAATGCCCAGTGCGATGCCAGCGCTTGCCCCAGCACTCAGCTGTGTCTCCAGCACCCGCTCTCGGTAGCACAGGAGGAAGATGACCACCGAGCCAAACAGCAACCCAGTGAGGAAGAGCACTGCTTTGAAGCAGCGGTAACCTGGAGGGGAACAGGGGCTAGTAAGGGGCCAAAATGAGGTCACCAGGCTGGGGGGAAGAGGTCAGAGGGGTCAGGGAAATGGGATCACAGGGGAACCAAAGACAAGGACACTAAAGTCAGAGAGCTGAGGATCACTGAGGTCATGAGGGCATCAGAGATAGGGCCATTGAGATCAGGGGAGGTCAGAGAGAAATGGCCGTTGGAGATCACTGGTAAAACAGACATTATCATTGCTACTGATTTGGGGTCTTTTAGGGTTGGTGTCTTTAAGAGTTGAGGTCTTTAGGGTCAGGATAGATTACTGGAGACAAGGGTGAATCAGTAATAGGGGCACTGGGGCCTTTGTGTCATAGGGGTCAGAAAGGTAAGTCATTAGGGACACAAGAGGATCAACAAAAGAGTCATTGAAGTCTTAGGGAGGGATTGTTCAGAGAGAAGTTGTATCTGGAAGTCAGAAAGAACTTGAGAGCTGGGGGTCACACAGTTTCAGAAAGATGAGCCTTTTGAGAAGTCACAGAGATTCAGAGATATGGCAGCACTGGAAGGTTACAGAGAGGACAGAGAAGCAGGGTTACCGGGGAGGAGTTCCAGGAGATGAGGTCTTTGCATGCTAGGGGAATTGACAGAAGTGGTATCATTGAGAGTATTCAAGGGGTTCTGAGAGACAGAGGAACAATGAGGCCAAGGAGATGGGATTACCGAGGTCATGGTATGTGGAGGAGTTATCAGACAATGAGGTTGTAGGAATGAGAGAGTTAGGGGTAGCCAGGGATCAAAGCTAGAGATATTAGGGGGGTCAGGGGATGGAAGGTAATGAGATAATAGGGGGGTGTGAGGTCACTAGCGCTTACATTGGGTGATAGGGAATCGAAGAGGGGGGGCAATAGTGGTTGTGGAGTTTCACAAATAAGGAGGTTCTAGGGCCATTAGACCCATTAGAGGTACCTGCAAGGGTGAGAAAAGTGTAGATCCTGAATAATTGGGAAGACGGAAGCCAGAGATGGGTTCAAGGAGTCAGGGAAAGCCAAAGAGAAAGAAAAAGAGGAGATTCCATTCCAGGAGTGAGGGGAAATATCAGTCTAGGAGGTCACAGAGAGGAGCAGGGCATGGACAAAGGCTCAGAATCCAGGAGTCTGGGAGTAGTGGCATTCAAGAGGGGCAGGACGTCAGGGAATCCCAGGAGAGGGAATATGAGGCTGCACTGAGCAACATGCAGAGAGAGTGGGTATAGATAGTGGGGGGGGTGATACAGACTCCTCGGAGGACTCAAATGTGTCCTGAACCTTTGTGGGGGGCACTTCCTCCTGCCTACGCTTCAGTTATTCAGCCCAGAGTTTGGGGGAGGAAGAGGAGGGACCATCTGGTTCTCATCCCTGTCTACCCACCCATTCTAGGGAGAAGTATGGAGGTTGCAGGACACAAATTTTGCACTACCTCTATCCAGTCTGGAACCCAAACCCCAAAGCCTCCTTTGCCTCCACTGGTTCCAGCTCCCTAGAGCCCTCCTCTGGGAGGAATTCCTTGGACCCCACCCCCACCCCATAGAGCTCACTCTCCTCTCTGAAGTTCTGTAACTCTTGCTGTAGAGTCACTGAGCACTTACTCCATGCTGTCACTAGCCCATATGGTGCATTTGTGCAAATTAGAAAAAGGTATGCCTGTCTCTAGGCAAAGCTGCCTTGTGCCAAGGCCTAGAGTTTGTCAAGTAGAGCATGAGCTGGATTTCAACCCCCACTTGACTATTCAACTGAGCTTCCTTGCACAGCACCCATCCTGTACAACTGTTCATGGCAGCCCTGATTACTGGAGCCTACCTTGTAGGCGATCACCATATGTATGACTACCATCCAGCCCACTCTAATATGTATCACAGGTGTGACTTTTTTCAGGAGTCTCTCCCCCGTCAGACAATATGCCCTGTGGTAAGGGACCATGTCTAATCACCATGCTAACTGTTTTCAGTGCCTACCTAAAACAGTGGCCCAAACACCATCTTCACCAAAATAGCTACTATTTATTGAGTGCTTATTTATTCTGATAACAACTGTATGCAAGACAAACATTGTTCCCATTGTTCAGATGAGAAAGCTGAGGCTCAGACACGTTCACATGCCCAAGGCATCACAATTAGTAAGTGCAGAGCCAGGTTCAAACTCAAGCACACCTACTTCAAAAACCTGTGTTCTCTAGAATATAGTCTAGGTGATCTATAAACGTGTGGGATGAAAGAAAAGGAAAAGAAAGACAGTTAGTTATTCATGATGGTGGTGGGATTTCAGAGAAGATTTGGGGACCCCAGAAAAAAATCATGGGGAAACTTGGGGAGCCCAGGTGTGGGATGAGATGGGGATCTCACCGAAGAAGCAGTAGACGACTCCAAACAAACAGCACATGATGCAGACGAGGGCCGGCAGTGCCTGGTACCTGCGCTCCAGGGGCTGTTCACAAGGTGCACCCCAGAAGGCGTCGTCTGGCTCCGGGGGCAGCAGCTGGAACCGCAGTGTTGCCACAGTGCCCGGCATAGTGCTGGGAACAGAAGGGAGTCACCCTCCCAGGTTAACCTGACAGAGGGAAACTTGCGGTCAAGGAGGAGTCCTGGGTCCCCACCATGATGGTGTGGGAGTGGGAGTGAGAGAACTCAGCAAGGACACAGTGGACAAAGGAGTGGTGCCCACATCATGCAGCTCTGGAAGCATCTCTGGAGTGGGGGACAAAGACAAAGGGAAACAAAAGTGCCTGGCTAGAGGAGGCTGGGATGAAGTTAAAAGGGGGACTTTGGGGTGGGGGGGTGACGGCAGCGTGCTGCCCGAGGGGAGGAGGCAGCCAGGAGACCCGTCTGTGGGCGGCCAAATCTGGGCATGTTCACAATTTACCTGGGCTGGAGGCAACCTGAGCTTCTGAGCGAAGGAGGAGGTGCAGGGGCCGGAGGGGCGGGGGCTGCGGGGCGCCGGCGGCTCCAGCTGGCTGGGGTCCCGAGAAAGTCCGCCGTGCGGGGAAGGGGGCTGCCGGGCCGGGGGGACTGGTCTCCGCGCGGCGGCGGCGCCGCTCCACCTCTGGCACCG